CTTTCAAGAGAGCATCACCTGCATATCAGGGTGGGATTTGAGCTTGCCCTAAGTTGGCCAGGGAAAGTAATCTGGTTTCTCAGGCAATGAGTGGGGCCATAAAGCTCACAAGAGTTTGGCTACCAGAGTGGGTAGGAAATACCATCAGGTGGGGACAGGATTAGGTAGGTCTGAGCTTGGATTTGCCTTGTGTGGGGCTTGCCACAGCCACAGCCACTGTGGGGGATGGGAGAAAGGCCAATAGGGTTATGTTCCAGAGAGCAATATGGCTGCCTCACTGTGCAGTATAGTTCACCAGGGAAGTGGGGGACTGCCAGTTATGAGAGGCCTCACCCAGCTCTGGTGCAATCGGTGAGGCCAGTCTCACTTCTGCAAAGCCCAGCTACCACCCCTAGGTTTAGATCCCAGGCAGCCTGCATCCAGAACCCAGACCTGCCCCAGGCCCTAAGCCTCCCCACTGAGAGCAAGCACAGCTTTCAGACGATGCCCCTTCCTGTCTGTGTGCAACGCCAGCAGCTCCTGCACCGCATCTGCAGCACTGCCTGGATTCTGCTCGAGGAGTTCATGCCCACTCAAAATTATTCCAAAATTCACTTAAAAGGTTATTTCACCCTAGGAAATAACCTAGGGTTATTTCCCCTCCCTAATTCTGCTGGCTCCTTCCCTGAGGACCCCTGTGAGATACAGTTAAGAATGGCATCTTTGGGCTCCATATCAGGGGTGCCTACAAGCCTCTTCCTGCTGCAGCTTCTACTCTAAATTCAGTCCAGCTCCAGGTAAAGTTAAACCCTTTTCTTGTGACTGGATTTTCAGATTCTTTAGTGGGGATATGTATTTGGGGTGAGTTTTACCCCCTCTCACACTTTAGGGACTCACAGATTTTCCCCTGTCTCGTGGAGTCTGCATTGGCATGCTGCTTTTTTCCAAGGATATGGGAATTTTTTTGTTTTCCTTATATGTTCCTGTGTTCATTCTTGGAACAAAAGTTCACAGTGTGAGTCTCCACACACTGTTCTGTCTGTCCAAGTGAAAGATGCATGTTAGCCCTGCCTCCCATCCACCATCTTCCTTCTGCATCTGAAGGAATGAAGTTTATGATATGTGAGTTATTTGTCAATAAAACTTTAATGAAAACAGAAATGTCAAAATTATTTCATATGTGTTGATATGGCTCCAATGACTGGAGGAACAGCAGGGTCATTAGCCTCATGATGATTTTGATAAAACAACAGGGACACATGTAAAACTGTTTTAAGGAGCAAAGAGTTAAACAGGCCAGAAAGACAGAAGATCCCTCATACAGAGACAGAGGGAAGAGGACTCCAAGCCAACAGAGGAAACCTCTAGTGTAACAGAAAACAGCCAGTTATATGAGGGGGCTGAAGGAGACAGTGTCTGATTTGCATAGGCCTCGGGGGATTGCTTTGACCACACATCTCATTAACACAGCTTATGAAGAAACTGGCCCTCACACCCTAGCCTTTTAATCTGCAAATGCAGGGCACCATGATGTTCTACACAGGTGGGGATAGGTGGGGGCAGCCATGTGCCAGGCACAAGTGGGGGCAAAGAAGAAAATGGTGGGCATCACCATGTTTGGGTGAACCAAGTTTCTAGTGGCTAGCATTGGCATATAAACTTTGCCCACCCAGCTCTAAGATCCTGGGCTTTCCTGTTAGACAAAAAATGTTTCTGGAGCTTCTTTAAAAGAAAGAAAGACTTCCTGAGAACCTCCTATCCTCTCTATCTGCCTAAAATAATTTCTTAATAACTCCTAAAACAGTATAATTCACAATAAAAATTTATTTAAGTTATTAAGATGTAGTCTAATCACAGGGGTGAAAACATATCAGTTACAATATATTCAATAAAATTACAATAATGTCTTTTATTATCATTCATTTGGAAATCTGTAAGAAGTAGACTATCAAAAAGCAGCAAAGATTAGCAGATGTAGGAAAGTCTCAAAGGACGTAAGAATGCTGTGAAATACAGTAGCCCTCCCTTATCCAAGATTTCTCTTCCCATGGTTTCAGTTATCTGCAGCCAACCACAGTCCAAAATTATCAAATAGGAAAATCCAGAAATAAACGATTCATAGGTTTTAAGTTGCATGCAATTCTGAGGAATATGATGAAATCTCATGATGTTCCACTTGGCCTGAGATATGAATCACCCCTTTGTTCAGTGTATCCATGCTGTCTATGCTATTCTAAGGTCTGACCGCGTCATGGATGGCACGGTCACCCCCACAAACCACACATAACTTCTGGAGGGTCTTCCGGAAATAGAAAACCTGAAGTAGCTGGAAGATCATGAAAAGAGGAAGAAATTATCAACCCCTGCAAAGCCTACTTAACTGGGACATTCTCTATTGTTTCTCATTCTGGCCTTAATTGACAAGGCCACTCGACTTTGTAACTGACCTTGGCCAAACTCAAGACTCCACACCCTAAGGCCTGCTCCCAGCTTGGCCAAACTCATGATTCCACACCCTCTGACTCCCTCCCAGCTTGCAAACCTATGACCCATTCCCAGCTTGCAAAAAACTGCCCCAAACTGTAACTTCTGTAACTTTCCACTGCCTCCCCCACAACCTATAAAACCAACTCCTATCCCACCCTCTTCACGGACTCCCTTTTTGGCCTCAGCCCACTCACACCCAGGTGAATAAACAGCCTTGTAGCTCATACAAAGCCTGTTGGGGGGATCTCTTCATTCAGAACGCTCATTTTCATACTACTAGCTATTTATGAATAATCATGAACTTGAAATGGTTAACACCATCTGCTGCCAGCCCATTATATGTCACATCATCTGCTCATGACATCCAATCATTGACATTATCACTCCATGATCCAGGATTTTCCAAAGCATATGATATTCATTCTAACCATAGTTAGAATCATCAATAGCCTAAAGCTACATTACCATGCCAATATTTATGTTACTTCATGTCATCAATAGACATATTACTATCTCACATCATCACAAGAAGGGTGTGTATAATACAACAAGATATTCTGAGAGAGAAACCATATTCATCTCATACTGAGCATACTTTATAAACTAAACTATATCACAGGGATGTATGTATAGGAAAAACCGTAATATATAAAGGGTTTAGTACTTTCTGCAAGTTTAGGCTTCTACTGGAGGGATCTTAGAATATAATTCCTGCAGTTAAGGGGAATAACTGTATTTAAGTTTCACACTTGATTTTACTTACCTAAATTTCTAAATTCTCCACTTGTTTCTGAATCCTAGTACCCAGCTCAAGGCTTCCTGGGTTACAGACTGCACTGGGCCATTATTACCCTCTACCCATCCAATTATGCTGTTTCAGAATAATTACAGACTTGAAATGGTTGACTCCATCTGCTGTCAGGTCTACCCAGAAATATACCTGCAGTCTTAAAAAATATTTATGGCAAACAAAGGTCTACAGACAATTTGATAGTTATATTTTCTATGTATACACATTAACTTTAATAGGCTCATTAAAAAACGCCTAGCTAATAGGTTACTCTCAGTTTTACAGTTTTGTGCGTATGTTTTATTACGAAATTTTATAGTTCAATTTAATAAAATGTAAACATTATAAATGTTTAGATGACTATCTGCTTAATTTTAGTTACTCACAAACTTGATGGAGATTTTGTATGTCAAATAGCAATATTAACGTGTATGTGTCTATATTTGCGTATGTGTAGAATTTATGCTTTTTCAGCTTCAAAGTAGATAAAGTTATTGCTGAGCAAACAAAAAGAAAAATGATGCTTGGAAAGATATCATCATATTCTATAAGCCTACAGTAGAAAACAAAAACAAAAAAACACCAAAGCACCAAACCTTCCATTAACCTTCCATTGACCTTCCACTGACTGATCTACCTACCTTCCTTCCTTCCTTCTACAGTTGTGGCTGTTTGTCTAAAGAAACATTTTATTTTCTGTTGGTGGTAAGGTGGCAGTGAAATCTAAGCTTTAAAATAACATATTTTTTTTTCAACCTTTATTTTAGAATTAGGTAGTACAAAGACACATTTATTACATGGGTGTATTGTGTGCTGCTGAGGTTTGAGGTATGGATCCCATCACCTAGATACTGAACATGGCACCCAAGAAGTAGTTTTTCAACCTATGCTCCTTTTTTCTCTCCCATCTAGTAGTTTCCAGTATCTATTTTTACCATCTTTATATCCATGTGTACTCAAGGGTTAGCACCCATTTTTAAGTGAGAACATGTAGTATCTGGTTTTCTGTCCCTACATTTGTTTGCTTAGGATTATGGTCTCCAGCTCCGTCCACGTTGCTGCAAAAGGCATTATTTCATTGTTTCTGTAGCTGTTTACTATTCCACGGTATATATGTACTTTTCTTTTTTTATCCAGTCCACCACTGATGAAAACCAATGTCGGTTCTATGTTTTGCTATTGTGAATAGCACATCAATGAACATACAAGTGTGTATGCTTTTTTGGTAGAATGATTTAATTTTATTAGGGCATATACCTGGTAATGGAATTCCTGGGTCGAATGGTAGCTTGGTTTGAAGTTATTTGAGAAATCTCCAAACTGCTTTTCCCAGAGGCTAAACTGATTTTCATTGCCATCAACTGTGTATAAGCATTCCCTTTTCTCTGTAGCCTCATCTGTGTCTGTTATTTTATTCACTTTTTAATAGATAGGCATTTTTTGACTGATATGAGATGGTATCTCATTGGGGTTTTGATTTACATTTCTCTGATGATTAGTAATGACAAGCATTTTTTCATATGTTTGTTGGCCACTTGGATGTCTTCTTTTGAGAAGTTCTGCTGGTGTTCTTTGCCCAGTTACTAATGGAGTTATTTGTTTTTTGCTTATTAAGTTCCTTATATAGATTCTGGATCTTTTCAAATATTTTCTTCCATTCTGTAGGTTTGTATACTCTGTTAGTAGTTTCTTTTGCTATGCATAAGCTCTTTAGCTTAATTAGGTCCACTTGTCCTTTTTTTTTTTGCAATTGCTTTTGGGGACTTAGCCATAAATGCTTTGCCAAGGCTGATATTAAGATGGGTATTTCCTTGGTTTTCTTCTAGGATTTTAATAGTTGGAGGTCTTACATTTAAACCTTACGTCTAATTCAACTTTAGTTTTTGCATATTGTGAAATGCAGGAGTCCAGATTTATTCTTCTGCACATGGCTAGCCAGTTATTCCAGTACCATTTATTGAAGGAGTCCTTTCCTTGTTGCTTATTTTCATTGGCTCTTTTGAAGATAAGTAGCTGGGGGCGTATGCCTTTACTTCTGACTTCTCTATTGTTTTCCATTGGTCCTTGTGTATCTTTTTGTACCAGTACCTTGCTGTCTTGGTTACTGTAGTCTTATAGTATAGTCTGAAGTTTGGCAGTGTGATGCCTACAGATTTGTTATTTTTGCTTAGGATTGCTTTGGCTATTCAGGCTCTTTTTTGGTTTTATATGAATTTTAGATATTTTTTTTCTCATTATGTGAAAAATGGAATTGGTAGTTTGATAAAAATAGCACTGAATATATAAATTGCTTTGAGGCAGTATGGACATTTTAATAATATTGGTTCTTCCAATTTATAAGCATGGAATGTTTTTCTGTTTATTTGTATGGTTTATGATTTCTTTCAGCAGTTTTATAGTTCTCTATTTAGAAATCTTTCACCTCCTTGGTTAGCTATATTCCCATGTATTTCAAAAAATAATATATACAAAGTTAGAATAATAAGGGGCAAGTTTTATATTGAAGGGAGTATTTTTCCCATAAACACACAGACATAGTCACATTTAGTAAGATTTTTAAATCACCATTAGGATGTTACCAATGCAATGTTTTATTGCTCCTACTTTCTAATTTAAAATGTATTTTGTGACAAATTCAAAACTGAGATTATATGTAGTCAAAAGATGCTCTCCATGGCAAGTGGCAGAGTTAATTAAGAATAAAGAAATATATGGCTAATTAATATCATGACAACACAACTTACAAAAGTACTGCAAATTAATATTCCTGAGTGAAAGCACAATAAAAGTGAAATGCATTAAGAAGTGCTTGGGCAAAAATATTTCCATATAACAGAAATCTTGAGAAGTCAAGTTTGCTATTAAAGCTATAAATTTTATCCAACTATCAGCTGACTTTGTCCTTTCCAATTAAAGATTCCCCCCCTCCACATTTAAGCTATGTTCAACCCGTATGTCCATAAGCAAAATATATTCAAACTTTCATTTTTATCTTCAAATATGCTAACCTTTTCTCCATTTTCTGTAGTCGCTCTTCTCTGACTTAAATGCTCTCAGAAGACCTTCACCTGGCTGCCTTTTCTTCATCTTTTATATCTCATATCCACTACCTCTTTCTCAGAGGGTCATCTCTTATTACTCTATTCAGAGATAGCATGCCTTTTTTTCTGATGAATATTCTGAATCACAGCGTCTACCCATTATGAGCTCAAACACTTGATCTATTTTCTTCTTAGCTCTTAGCCTTACCCATCTCTTCCATCTCCAAAAGAATGCAAGTATAACAAGAATAAGAATCTTACCTGCTGTGTTCATTCAACCTTGTCTGGTAGATAAATAAAATGTACCCTCAACAGTTACTGCCGGGTGAATTGAATGAACCATTCCGTAGTCCACAGAAGTCTGAGGAGGTTAATGTTTACCTTCCCCTTGCAGATGCTTATTCTCTCTATATGAAAGTAGACCTACAAATATATTTCAGTAACCTCTTTTACTCTCTGGGATCAAGTACAACACTCTGGTCTCTGTGATAATGATTATCACTTACACAGGCTTATACAGCCATGCAGGTTATTTTGGCAAAAGTCAAACACGTAATGAGAGACTATTTTAGAGACTATATAAAAACATGAGTTATTTCCCCTAAACACTGTCACATTTTGTAAACTATAGACAAATGGTTCTAAAGATGAAGGATAACCCAAACTCAGAGTCAGCCATTTTCAAGATACTCTCTTTACTAGCAGAGGAGAGATATTTTATTCAATGTTTAATAGAACTCAAAGGCACTCAAAAGGAATGTTCTCATTTATTTACATTATTTTATTTCACATACCACCAAGCCTTCCATATTTTTGTATATCCAATATTTCATGTGATCTTCAAACAACATTTTGAAGTGGATAAAACTGCTCTTTTGCTCCTTCTTGCAATGTATAGATATATACTCAAGTCAGGAATAGAAGCTACTGATGTGATGAGAATCTTAGTGAATTCAAGACGTAGATAATAAAGTTAGGCCTTTTGGTAAAGAAGAGCAGTGGAAACTGGAAATTTAGGAACTGAAGACTTTTTATTATTAGCTGCATATTTTCATTTTCACTTCTTGTTTCCTTCTGTTCCTTCTCATGATTTATCTTCAAATCTCAGATATTTTTCTACCTCTAAGCAATATCGTTTCATATTCAATTTCTCAATGAATTTTGATTAATTCAAAATTAGTCAAAGTGTCTATGTTTAGGTAAATGCTTGTTTCTACATTAAATATTTGCATTTTTTAAATAATTATGATATCTTATTAAATTATCAGAGAATTTATTTTGTGTTGTATTCTTTCCTATTGCTATGATATGACACATACTTACTTAAAAACTTTTCTTGAAAGTTCTATGACTCGTTTGTACAGGTCTATTATAAAGTCCTCTTGGTTTTGTCTCTTCGAAATTGTGTTGAAATATTAATTTTATTTAGTGTACTCCTTTTAACATGGACTCACTGAACTCAAAGAGCAAGAAAGTCTATTTAAATGCATTGGAGTGAATGAGAATGAAATAATAATGAGCCCTTACTGCTTTCCAATTAAGGTAGAACATTTAAATTAGTTATAACCTCTCCTATCAAAGGCCTACTCAATTAAGATTCACATCAAACAAATGTCTGATTGTTATATATTTACCTTTGTTCTTAAATGACTCATAGTCCAGCTAATCTCCATCTCAGAGTCCACTGCCAGGAAATTTCAAATTATAAAAAACCTGGAGTTATTCTAACTAGCAAAAGACCACTTTTATTTTCACCAAAGACTAGAAGAGTAAGAAACTAACAAAAAAGTAGGCTGTAAGGGGCCAGAGATTACACATGACTTACCCAAACTATCCAGCTAATGGCAAAGCCAATCCTATAAACTAATTTCCTTTGTTCAGGACTAGAGTTTACAAAGAGATGCTCTCTCTGAAGCAGTGCTGCAAAGAAAATATTACAGTTAAAACTTCTTGTCTTTTAGCCAAAAGGAATAGATGTGAAAACTGTCTATATTTTTAACATTTTTATACTAGTTGTTACATGAACTCAAGTGGAACTCTGAGTGACGTAAGAGAGAGGAATGGAACTTATCCTGCTCATTGCTGCTGCATGAGGGTAGTATTAGAGAAAGAGGCAAAAGAAGTGGAAGAGAGTTTCAAGTGAGGTAGAGGCTTGCTAGGGGAATCAGTCAGAGGGAAGAAGCAGTAAACTCCTCTAGTGTCTGAAAAAGCAAACAATAAATGAAGGCACACGTGGAAGCCTCCTAGCATGTTGGTGTCTGGGAAGATGGGAAAAAAAACCCTTCAGTACTAAATAAGAACTTTATTTTCTCCCACTGCTTCAAAAGTTAGTCAAACTTTTTCAGTCTTTTCACTGAGGATGTATCACTACTGCAGAAATACTACAGATTCTTCTGGTAGCAAGCGAACACACCAGAAACAGTTAAGCACTGTTTGCATTTACGATTTGCTCACCTTCAAGATGCCTTTAAGGATTTTAAAGGCAGGACAGAAATAAATGAATGAAATGCACATTCTAAGAATCCATCAAAACAGTTTGTAAAGATGCCTTAAAGCCACCTCCACTGGGGCAATGATTAACATTTTGAAAAACTTTTTTTATTCAGAGAGAAACATCCACCTAACAATGTATGAGCTTCTATATTCTTTTCAAGAAGGATAATATCTACGATTCACTAACTTTAATGAAAACTTTATTCCTAACATCCAAATATTTTCTGGCTCAACCTGTATTTTTTTTTATTGCTGCATTGCCACAAACTCAGGGACGTAAAACGACACCAAGTAATTATAGTTTCTGTCTGTCACGAACCTGGCATGGCAGGACTAGGTACTCTGAGTAAGATGTCACAAAGCTGAAACCAATACCGAATTCTTTCCTGGAGGCTATGGAAAGAACTCTGTTTCTAATCTCATTCAAACTTTAGGCATAATCTAGTTTCCTGTGATTGGGATTTTTTTTTAGGGCTTATGGTTTGGGCATTTCTCTCAGTTCTTACAGTCCATTTGCATGTTCTTTCCATGTGAACCCTTTCATCTTCAAGTCAGTCAGCAAAACACATTTAGTCCTTCTCACTTTTTGAATTTTGAATAGTCTCTGACTTTTTTTGCTACCTGCCAGGGCAAATTATTTTAAGGGGCTTGGTGATTAGGTCATCACCACCTAGAGGTCCTCCCTTTCTTAAAGTCAATTATACCATACAAAATAAACTAACATGAAAGTAAAATTCATTAACATTATTGTCTTGGAGATTATGCAGGGTATGGACACTGGAGGAGAGGGATACTAAACTGTGAGGGTCATTTTACACAGCTTTACACACAGTCCATAAGGCACAGAATTTGTGCTCACACCTATACTGAAGATACATTTTTGGAAAAACCAATAATTCGTAACCAGATAGTACAATTGACATGACAAATGCAAATGACGGTACTAACAAGTTCTTTTTAAATATCTAAAATGAAATATATACGTAAGTATCAGAAAATATTTTAGCCATTGATTTTTAGCTTTTTACAAAGACAATGTGTCTGCCATATAATAACCCATACCTGAAGCATACCTGAAGATCTCTTATATTTATAGGGCTCATCGTCCTGGGAGATATAGGCCAGAAAAATATTCCCACTGCTGCTGCAGTGATGAAAGGAAACCAAATTTATCAATTCCCATATAACCCTGGGAGGGCTTTAAATTTATCAATTCCCATATAACCCTGGGAGAGCTTTCTTTAGTTGTGTTAAGGGACAGCAAATCATGCCAACTAAGGTCTTTCTGTCATTTCCTGACATAATCCCGTCTTCAGCTGACTACTATATTCAATACCTCCTGGAGACCTAGCCTTAGCATAAGTCCATATATTATCTTTTATTAAAAAGTCAAAGTATTTATCTATGGTAGATATTAAGTCTAAATTTTATTCTACATATATACATGACTATATTGGCCTCTTTTTATGAACTACATAGTAATAATTAAATATGCCATAGTTATATTTCCCATACAACAAAAGCATTGATGTTGATCAAATTAGCAATCCATGAAATTTGCTTGCTACATTTTTAGA